AGAGGACAGCAAGTCTAGTGGCGAGTTGGTCATGAGGTGTTTCGAATAGCCTGCACTTTACCCGTTGTAGGGTGTACACCATCTGTGTCGATTAAAAAACCAAAAAATTCTACATTAGAGACTCCCAGATGGCATTTCGATTTTTTAACCTTTAACCCTGCCACTTGGAAGTGACTTAATACTGCCCTGAGGTGTTCTGCCAGTTCGTCTTCGGTTCTTCCGGCAATTAAGACATCGTCAAAATAAGGCACCACCCCCAGCAGTTCCCTTAACAATCTTTCCATGAGCCCTTGAAATATACCTGGAGCCACATATACCCCAAATTGCAATCTGTTTACTTTGAATGGACCCCTGTGCATGACGATAATTTGCGCTACAGCAGTTTGGGGGTCTACTGGAAGTTGTTGGCAAGCCTGAGCTAGATCTAATTTAGCAAAGACCTCACCTTCTCCCAACGACGCCAGCACATGGCTAATAACTGGTACGGGGTAAGAGTGCTGCTGTAGTGCCCTGTTTATTGTGCATTTATAATCGGCACAGATTCAAACCAACCCGTCAGGCTTCACTGGTGTCACTATAGGGGTTTCCCATTTTGCATGTGATACCGGATCTAACACACCTTGGGCCATGAGCTTGTCTAACTCGGCCTCAATTCATGGCTTCATGGAAATGGGAACCTTATGATACTTTAGCCTTATAGGCGCTACCGAGGGATCCAGATCAAAAGTTACGGTGGTCCCCTATACTTTCCCAGTGTACCATCAAATACATCAGCAAATTCAACATACATTGAACGCAATGTATTCGCGCTGACCTGGTTAATTCCACTAATAGCAATTCCGAGGGCCTCGAACCAGTCCAAGCCCAAAAGACTGGCTCGGCACCCCTCGGCAACAAGGAGGCGCAGCGACTCTCTGAACCCCTTAAATTGTACCTCAAAAGTGGCTTCCCCAGCCACAGGAATGCGCCTCCCCTGGAAATAGGAGAGATAAATGGTGCTTGGCTTCAAACGCCGACGGCTCCATCGCGGGAACAAATGCTGCAGGGTTTCAGATAAGATGACGGTCACGGCTGATCCCGAGTCGACCTCCATCTCACACGGTACTTACTTACATGTGATTTCTATACCGCTCATGACCCCTAGTGGGTCTCAGAGCGGTTTACAAGTAGACTACGTCAGTAGTCGAATCCTACCTAGGGCGACAATTTTGTGCGGGGAGGTGTTGCCTAACAGCACCCAGACGGCGGGCTTCTCTCCTTCTTGGCGGCTCAGGCGCAGTCTCGGTGCTCCAGCAAGCGGCGACCATCGGCAAGCTTCAGGTGGATCCTCCGTTGGTGCGCACTGCTCAGGACTGCAGTGTTTCTCCGGCAACTCGTCCCGTCAGGCTCCAGCCGCGCTGCGTCGCTCTGCAGTTGCGTCATCCGGCTCCGCTTCACTCCGATGTCGTCGTCGCTTCCATGGTCCGCCGGACGCCGCCATTGTTCTTCCTCGCCGCCGCTTCTCTCTTGCTGCCGTCGCCATCAACCCTCCCACAGGTACGCCATTCAGCATGACGGTGACGTGGATCTTCTTCCTGGATCGCGATCCGGTTTTTAGGATGGTCAAAGGGCAGGAGCAGCAGTTGGTCAGATGGCAATATGTAGACCTTGCGTTGTCCTCTCCTCAAATCCGGGGACGTGCACAAGGAGATGACGGTGGTGTCTTCTTCTTCTTAGCCCTGCATACTCTGGCCATATGGCCTCACTTGTTACAGGATCAGCAAACGATGTCTCTTGCCCAGCAGCGATCCCGCTCATGATCTCTGCCACATCCGGCACAGGCTCGCCTCGGCACGGTTTTCACTGGAGTCCGCTTGGCCCTCAGAGCTCGAGAGTTGTGTACGTCACCGCGCTCACCATCAGACTTGCTTGTTGATTCATGGTGCACTGACTTGCTGGCCCCCTGTTGGATTGGGGTCAGGTTCTGACGCACTTCTTGCATTGCTTTCTCAGCAGCCTCTGCGGCAACAGCCTCTGAGTAGGCTACGGCATACGTGAGAGCCAACCGTGCGAACAGCTGCTGCTGCAGCTTCTCGTCTTTCATGCCACAGACAAGCTGGTCGAGGAGCGCTTCCTCGAGGTCGGAGAAATTGCACGGGCGTGCAGCCTTCTGCAAGGCTGACACGAAGTCAGCAACCGTCTCGTTTGCCACCTGGGACCTCTTATAGAACACGTACCGACTAGTGATATGTGATGGTTGTGGCGCGAAATGACCCTTCAGTTTCAGCTTCAGGTCAGCCATGGACACGGCTCTGATTTCAGCTGGAATGACCAGGTACTGAGCGACGTCGAATACAGCTCTCCCACAGGAACTGAGGAGTGTTGCCTTCTGCTGGTCCTCATCCTTGATCTGGTTAGCCTGGAGGTGGAACTTGAACCTGGCAAGGTAGGAGTCCCAGTCCTCTAGGTCTGGTTCGAATGCTTCGAACCGCGGGTTGACGGCCATCACTGTCCTGGGTGCAGGCACTGGTACAAGTGCTGCAGCCGCTTGATCAGCCGGGTCTCGTTCTTCTGCCCTGGGTTCCTCAGGGGCCTCTTGGTCGTCTGCCATTCTGGCGTCGGTTCAGCGGGGCTGCCTACCCTCTCTAGCATCCCACCCTCGTCGCCAGTTGTTGTATACGAGACTCAACGCAGCTTGTGAACAGTGAATCAGCTTTATTTAACAAAGTCAGAAGAAATCAAGAACGAGACAAAAACATAGAGCCACAGGCTCTCTTTCAAACAATCCGGGCTTAGATAGCCACGCCCACCTGTGATGTAACAACCAATCACTATTTACAGATAAGGTCCAATCAGAGTGCTTCCCTCCATAACATTGTGCTGCTCTGATTGGTGGACTTACAATCCTGTCCAGAACTCAAGCTCACTAAGGAACTTAATACATAACAGTTGGCCTATCAGATGGCGATTAGCCAGCCGTACCATTTCCTTTCTTCCTCTGAAGGAGCTGGGGAGGAGCTGAAGGGGGTGGTGGGCTTCTTGGAGCATCTGATTGGACAGGAAGCCTGACAGAATCTGTCCAGGAATCCTCTGAAATGTACTGAAGTTTAATGTCCGATATACAGGATGGAGGTGAAAGTGGTGGGATTAATCCCTCAAAGGAAAAAGAAAGTGGGAAAATCACTGCCGTGCACCAACAGGGCAGAGGTCCCGGCTGTCATTCCCTGCCCTCTTTGCAGTCAACCAAATCTCAGGGAGGCTCTTGCTTCACCCTCTCATTTATACAGACAAGGGGCTGGACCTGTTGTGTATAAATGGGAGGGTGAAGCAAGAGCCTCCCTGAGATTTGGTTGACTGCAAAGAGGGCAGGGAATGACAGCCGGGACCTCTGCCCTGTTGGTGCACGGCAGTGATTTTCCCACTTTTTTTTTTCCTTTGAGGGATTAATCCCACCACTTTCACCTCCATCCTGTATATCGGACATTAAACTTCAGTACATTTCAGAGGATTCCTGGACAGATTCTGTCAGGCTTCCTGTCCTCAGGGTCACCCTTTCTGAGTGGGAATTGCATGATGCCACAACCCCAGCCTTCCCTGGGCATTTGCACCGAGGCGGACCTGAAAGGGGATCTTCTTATTTTATTTATGTTATGTTATTTATCGTCCACCTTGCTCTCTGGGACTCAAGGCACATTACACAGAGTGAGTCAATACAATCGACAGGACGGGACACCCATTGGTTATTGGCTGCTACCGTCATACGAATACCAACAACTACTAGCTCTTTAGTATGGTTTTATAATTTGTTTCAATTGTAACTTGTTTTAATGTAATTACCTGTTTTTATGTAAGCCGCCCTAAGCCGGCTTCGGCTGGGAGGGCGGGGTAGAAATCTGAATAAATAAGAATAAATTAAATAAGCAGTGCAATAGGATTAGGATTGCAGAAGTCTGGAACCAACTAGAATCCCAAAAACAGAACTGAAGCAAAGCATTAATATTAGCGTGACCATTAATTTTTGCAAATTTACATAGCAGGAAGCTATACACAGTTGTATAGTCCACAGGCCCTAGTCATTAATCTCAGTAACTTTGGGGATCATCTTGTACAGTATAACCCTGTTGCCTGCGTAGAAAAGCCCTCGCGAATAATATGTGAAGTTTGTCTGCTGTGACTTGCTGGTGAACCTCTGATGAACCCTGGGCTTGAATTAAGAAACCAAAAGATTTATTACCAAAAATATAAGTGCCAAATAATAGTTAAAAATATAACATAAATATTTTTAAAATACACCAAAATACATATGTTTATTACAAATTAGAATATACCAAAATATATGCATTTATTACCAAGTAGATAAAATTTCTCTCTTGGTCCAAGGAAAATATATTCTCATGCAATTTGGTCCAAGAGAGAATGACACATAATTGAAGACACAAGTATATGACCAGGTCAGAAGGTATTTGAAAATGAGGCTTCTGTATTTTATCCCTGCCTTGAGTCACTGAGATTTTTTATAAAACCATTTTTAATTGGTCCTATTTTCAGTATTCATTGTATTATTTGCAGCTAATGTGCAGTATAAATGTCTGACCACTGAGGAAGGCTGAATTGGCTGAAACACATATGGTCTTGGTCACATATGTTTTCTGTTTGATACCTATGTATGATTTTATCATGTTTGGAGGCTACTATTGGGCCTATATCTGTTTTTATCTCTTTTTCTAACAAATACATGTATTTTGGTATATTTGGTAATATTTATGTTATATGTGTTTATTATTCCGCCCTTATATTTTTGGTAATTAACCTTTTGGTTTCTTAATTCAACTTGTTTGGGTTTTCTCCCCCCCCCCCCCCCCCCAAGAGCTGCCCAGAACTTGGTATTCCATTGGAGAATGCTGGGTTGCCTTTATATCTAGTGGAAACACCAACACTTCCACAGGGACTGAAAACTATTTGGAAATTCTGCGGAGCCAAAAGATATCAAAGGCATAGCCAAAGGAAACAGATTTTCAAGCCTTCCCAAATGTAAAGCTTCACCTTACATGCCTGTTCCTTTCACTTGACCCAACAGGACTGATATCCAGAATTCCAGCGGCCCTCAAGCACAACAGCGGTACAGGAACTGGAACCCCCCGTTGCTAGGCAACCTTCCCGATGACTTCCTCCGCATCCTGCCCCAGCAAATGGACAGTGTACAGGTGAGAAGTGAATGATATTTTCATCCTGAATTAGACCACAAGCTGAAGGAGCTGGTTTACTTTCTGGCCTTTGAAGGAGTACCCAGGTGGGTCCCCCCCCCCTTTGATGTAACCTACTCAGAGTGGGATATTTTGAGTAGGGCAGGTGTGGGGGTCAGAAATTCCAAGGGTTGAACCCTGAGGCTGGGAGCCTGCTATGTATGAATGCTGTTTGGCCTCAGGGCCCTTTTCAGGTGCAAAAGGAAATGGGAGCACGCAACCTCAGTGCTGGTCGGTGGCAGGTGACAGAAAGCCTCAAGGTTGGCTGATGCGCCTTTAAATGCTAGGAGTTTGGCCTTGCACCTTTCTCTGGTTGACGGAACACCACTTTTGGCTTCGGCCCTCTTCCTTCCTCCGGCTCAAGGTCAAGTCACCCCTGGTATGGCTCAGGGTCCCAGTTTCAACTCTGGGAAGAAGAAAGGACCACTGGGTGCTGCCTCCCACCTCTGACTGCCCGGCAGTCAGCTGGCCCTCTGCCATAGCCTGTAGTTAAGCACAAGCCAAGACAAGGGAGGTGGCTTCAAGCACGCAGCAGTGGCCTTGTCTGCCGATGTTCTCGGCTCTGTGTGACCTCACAACCCAGCACAGACCCTGATTGGCTCCTCCCTTCCCGAGCAGGTCTTGCCTCTGGCTTGGCAAATTCCTGTAGATTTGGCGGCAATTCCTGGGGAGGGCAAGGAGCTTGGGAGGGATGAGTCACCACAGAGTCCACCCTCTGGAGCTTCCTCCAGGAGAACTGATCTCTGCAGCCTGGAGTTCAGTTGTCATTCTGGGAGAACTCCAGGGTCTACCTGGAGGATGGCAACCCTGTCTGCTGGCTCAGGTCCTAGAAAGGACCTTCAGAGAGGGCTGGGGACAGGCCACCCGTCGGCTGGGCTGGGTCGGGTGGTCCTCTGGTCCCCCAGGGGTCCCCCAACGGCAGCTCGGGAGCTGCATGGCAGCTCCTTCACACAGTCTAATCTTACGTTAATAAAAAGGAAATGTGGATATTTTCCAATAAAAAACGTGTGTGTCATATTTGTTCATGTCTTGCAGCTCTCAAACATCTGACATTTATTCTGTGTGGCTGTTGCGTTAAGCAAGTTTGGCCACCCCTGCCCTAAAGGCTTCTGGGAAGATCCTGTTCTTCTTGTTTCCTGTAGGCCAGAGGCCACCTTCGCCTAACTGGACTGCCCACGAGCTCCTCAGCTGGGGCGCAGACGGATACTGTACTTCCTCAGGCTGTTATCGGGGCCATCTTTTTTCTCCCCCAGCCTCATTGGTTAGGACCAGACTAGGCGGGAGACACTGAACTGGGAGCTCAGATGCCACCGGACATCTGAAAAACAGCACAAAGGGGAGGCGTGATTTGGTGGGGAGAAATGGCAGCGGCCGGGGGGGGGAGCCGACGACGGCATTACTCTTCTCCCTCCCCCATCTGCTTTTTCCGTTCTTGGAGTTCCCAGATATGTTCCCCCGGCTGGGAGGGGAGAGTAGTGCAGGGTGGGAATTGTATGGGCAGGGAGGGGGGATACAGGACCCCTCGTAGAGCCACCTTGTCTGCTTTCCACTGCCTCTCCTGTCCCCTTGGTTTCGAGCTATTTTGAAGCACACCCAGGCTGGGTCTGTGCTGATGTCTTGCATATAGGGAAATAAAAGTGGTGGGTCAAACTCAGTCAGTGTTCCCTCTAAGCTGAGTTAGTGTGAGCTAGCTCACAGTTTTTTAGCCTCCGGCTCACACCTTTTAGTCTCGGCTCAGGAAGGAGGGCTCCAGAACAAACAAATTTATGCAGCAGCCAAATCGCTTGCTCACAGCTGTAATGCCCGGAGCTCACAAAGTAGAATTTTTGCTCACAGGACTCCACAGCTGAGAGGGAGCATTGGAAACTTGGCAGAAACTAAACACCTGGATCCCTTCTGGATTTGAACTGTCAGTTCACATCTTGGGGGGTTTTTTATGTGAATGCTTAAGATGTTTTTTAAGCGGAGCTCTGAAAACGTAAATTGGGAATACTGCAAAACTTGTTTCTGCAAATGAATGCGCCAAACTGTGACGCTAATGGGGGAGGTGGTTCATTGTCCACGGTGGAAGCCCAGGTATTCTGATTTGATTGTCTAGAAAGTGGTCCTCCTTGACTCTAAAACCCTTTTCCAGAGTTCACAAAGTTGCCACCAGACTGCCCCGAGCCAGGAAAACCAGGGACCTCAAGGCTCCTTAGACCAAGAGAGGAAGTGGAAACAGTACCTGGAAGACGAGCGGATCGCCCTCTTCCTGCAGAATGAAGAATTCATGAAGGAGCTGCAGAGGAATCGGGATTTCCTCCTTGCCCTCGAGAGAGGTAACAGGTCCTTTCAGAGTCTTTGGTGCGTGTTCTCTCATGGCATGGAGATTCAGTCCCCATTTTGAAGGGCACATGATGCTGCAGTTTCACAGTGGCACTGGCAATCATATTTTGTTCCTTTCCTCTGTGTCTCTGAGTTCTTGGGTACGCAAATCAGGGAACTACCATCTAATTTGGTGCCCGTAAGCATATGCAGCCAAATGTTCTCAGCCTTCCATTGGAGCATTAAAACTGTTTCACACACGCAGTCCAGTCCCTTGGTCACTGGAACATCATGAGAACATGCAGAGCTGCGAGGCTATTCCTGGAGATTTTAGGGGTGGAGCCTGGGGCAGGTGTAGTTTGGGGAGGGGAGGCAGCTCTGCAAGGTATCATGCCCCCCCCCTCCAAAACAGCTGTTTTCTCCAGGGGGACTGACCTGTGTTGTCTGGAGATCTGTTGTCATTCTAGTAGATCTCCAGTCCCCACCTGGAGCATGGCAACCCTACGAGCTGCCTTATCCTGACTCTTTTGTCCACATAGCCCAGTGTTTTCTACTGTCTCAGAGGTCTTGGGCAAAGGTGTTTCTGAGCCCTGCTACGTGAAGTCATTTAATTGGGCATCCTGGGGACTGAACCTGAGACCTTCTGCAGACTGTGTTCTGCCACTGGGCGACAGTTCCTTCCCATATGAATAGAGGAACCTGCTGAAACAAACCAAAGTTCAGGGGTAGCCAGACTTGCTTAACATAAGAGCCACGTAGTATAAATGTCACATGTTTGAGAGCTGCAAGACATGAACAACTATTACACACGTTTTTATTGGAAAATACGCAAATTTGCTTTTATTAATATTAAATTGATAACTTTAGATGGGGAGGGAGGGGAGAAAGAGAAAGAAAGGCGGAAAGAAAGTGGAAAGAAAGCAAATAGATGGGGGGGAGAGGGAGAGGTGGGAAGAAAGCAATGTTAAATGTGTCCTCCAAGCCCCCCCCCTGCCCCCACGCTGGCTAGCTTGGCTTGGAGAAGGGATTTAAAGAGACCAACGCCTTCTCCAAGCTGGCTTGCGGGGGCTTTGAAAATGCATTTAAAGTTCAAGTTTCTTTCTGTCTCTGCACTGGCTGGGAAGGGGAGACCGGTAAGCCCAATGGGGAGCCCTGCCTCCCCTTTGCTCCCCCAGCCACTGTAGCGGGAGCCGCACCATATGTGTGAAAGAGCCACAGTTTGGCCACCCCTGCCATAGTTCCATCCAGTCCTGCACTTTCTACTCTGGCTGCCAGTGGCTCTCCAAGCCTCCAGGCAAAGGCCTCCTAAGATCCCGCAACCAGAGATGTTGGGGAATAAACCGAGGACCTTCTGCATGCAAAAGCAGTTCCCTCCCACTGAGCCGTGGACTCTCTTTTTGTACTGGACTCTTATTTGCATCCAACTGTGATCCATCAGATGTTCAGGAAGTGTGACGCAAGAAGCCGAACCAAATATATGTATCTGTGACCTCACCTTTCTTGGGATTGTGCTGCAGTGTAAAGTGTATTTATACCCCCATTCTTGGATGGTCAGACAAATAGCATCAAGTTGGGGGGGGGAATGTTTTTGTCGTTTTTCAGATCGATTGAAATACGAGTCAAAGAATTCCAAGATGAGCAGTGTTGTCCTCAGTAATGACGTCAGCTTCACCTCTACAGTAGCAGGTACATCGTCTTGGATTGTTTCTCTGCATTGCCAGTTCTGTTGAGGAACTGTGATTCTTACAGTCACGCTGGACCTCGCACACTGATCGTGTTGTCAGCTCATCTCAGAATTTCACTTTTATGGCCTGTTGGTAAATGTAATGTATCCATCTCAGACCACGTGCGTGGCCATTCACCATGCGGTCATGCGAAGCGGCCGAGCTTTGCTCGCAGTAACAATGGGACAAGCGGATCCTAGCCGGCGCCTATAAGCAGGCTAGGCTCCCGGCCGAGAGCCTATGGAACTCTCGGCCACTGTAATAGCCAATCACTTGGGTGTGGGTGTGTTTTGGGTGCGGGGTTGTTGCACATATAAACCAGCCTGCGAGCTGGTTAGTTTGTCTTGTTCCGAACCTTTAATAAAGTCTTAGAGCTGAATCACTGCGTTAGTCTAAGGACTTTTCACTGGCGACGAAGGTGGGATACTACCACCCATGAACAACGACATGGACGCGGATTCAAGCATCGCATCGAGCCCCGACACCAAGACCGCCGCCGCTCCGTTCTCAAGCTTGGTCTCCGGTAGCTGCTCATCGCTCCACTCATTGCTCCGTACCTCGCTGGCTGACCCAGAGAGCAGCAGCACTTCTCATTTCTCTCCTGCCGCCACTGCCTCCGTCCCGAGCTACCGACAACCCGGGAACAAGCAATGGCAACCTTGCAGGAAAGCATCACCGCATTCGACATCTCCCACCCCGCACAGTGGGAGACCTGGATCGAGATCCTGGAGAGCTACTTCGACTGCCATGACATCGTGGACCCGGGTAAGAAGAAAGCCCACCACCTCCGATCCTGTGGCATGGACACCGTCTTGCTGCTCAAGGACTTAGTTGCACCTAAGTAGACCAAGGACGAGTCCTATACCGTGTTGGTCAAAGCCCTGATCGACCATCTTGCCCCATAGCCAACGAAATTCGCCGAGCGCATGGACTTCTTTGCACGGACTTCTTCTCCGGCGGGCGGCCACCAGGTGCTCGTTTCCCGACCTGGCGGACGCCCTGCTAAACCAGTTCCTTTTGGGTCTCCGGGAACCCAAACTTCGGAGGAAACTGGTTAGCCAGGACGACCTGGACCTAGACAAGGCGCTCAGGGAGGCTGCGGCCTATGAGAAGGCATACCAAGACCACCGCATGTGGGTGGTCCATTGCACTCAAGCAATGCTCGAGTTGGATGACTCTGAGAACGATGAGGTGCTCCAGGTCCACCGCCGTTCCTTCCAGCAGCATCGCCCCAGGGGAGCACTGTCGGCAAAAGCCCCCTCTGCGTCGTCTCAATGCACCAGCTGTGGGGAAGTGCACGAACGCCGTGGCTGCCGGTTCTGGGACGCCGTCTGCCGCTCCTGCAACAAGCAGGGCCACATCGCCAGGGTTTGCCGCTCCCGACGACCACCTCAGAAGATTTCAACCCACCAGACCTCGGATCTACGCACAGACCTGCATACCCTCTCAGCCCACCACCAGACGCACCAGGTAAGCAACTTGCCCCCCATAAGGTACATGTTATGGTGTTGATAGAGGGGTCCCCCTGCAGTATGGAAGTTGACTCTGGCTCTTCCTACTCTATAATCTCTGAGGAAACGCTGCACTTGCTCTGCCCATGGGGGGGACCTCCTCTGAAGAAGCCACAGGGGTTTAAGTTACAGGACTTTAGCAAGAACCCTGTGGCGGTGCGGGGCTGGGGCAAGTTTGCGGTGCCGTTTAAGGATTTCAGTGAACAATTGGACTTGCTGGTGGTGGGTGAAAGACGCTCCAGCCTGTTGGGAATTCGTGGTTCGGGCCCCTGGGGTTGCAGCTCACAGGGGTGAACCAGCTCCGGGCTGAGGATTTCGCGGCTGTGTGTAATGAGTTTCCCAGGGTTTTTGATGGTACTCTGGGCCGATACACCGGGACCCCCATCTCACTCGAACTTGACCCGGCCATCCGCCCCATTAGGATCAAGGCCAGGCATCCCCCATAGCTATGAGGCCTAAAATCGAGGCTGAGCTAGATCGTTTGGTGGCCCAGGGGGTGTTAGAACCCGTAGCTTCTGCACGGTGGGAGACTCCGATAGTCACCCCAGTGAAGTCTAATGGCGACGTGCGAATCTGTGCTGATTACAAGTGCACCCTGAATAAAGCACTCCAAGACCACGCATATCTGGTACCGGTGGTCAGCCACGTGTTGGCCACACTGGTGGCACGAATTTTCAGCAAGCTGGACTTGGCCTAGGCCTACAATCAACTGCCAGTGGATACAGCCACGGCTGAGGCTCAGACGATAGCAACACACAAGGGGGCTTTTAAGGTCCACCGGCTGCAGTTTGGGGTTTTGGTCGCGCCCGGCATTTTCCAGTCTTTCATGGACAATTTGTTAAAAGGTATTCCAGGAGTGCAGCCGTTTCTAGACGACGTGCTCATCGCGGCCCCAGATGTCTCGACTTTCGCCAACCGGCTCTGGACTGTGCTTCAGCACTTTGACTCGGCCGGTCTAAAGGTCAAGCGGGAGAAATGCCTGCTCAGAGTTCCTAAGGTGGAGTTTTTGGGATTCGCCGTGGACTCCCAGGGAATTCACCCCATGGCTGAAAAACCAAGGCCATCACGCAGGCCCCCCCACCCACGTCCAAGACGGAGCTGCAGGCTTTCCTAGGCCTGCTTAATTTTTATCATTCCTTTCTCCCTCTGAAGGCTGCGGTGGTGGAACCTCTGCACCGCCTGCTGGACAAAAACGCGCCGTGGGTTTGGGGACCGGAGCACGCCGCTCCTTTCCAGGTGGTTAAGGACCTTCTTGTCTCAAATTTGGTCCTTTCCCATTTCAACAAGGCGTTGCCAGTGGTCCTCGCCTGCGACGCCTCTCTGTACGGGGTCAGGGCGGTTGTGGGCCACCAGCTACTGGATGGCCGGGAGGTTCCAGTAGCTTACTATTCACGTACCTTGTCGTTGGCGGAGCGCAACTATGCGCAGATCGACAAGGAGGCGCTATCGATTGTGGCCGGGGTGAAGAAATTTCACCATTACCTGTATGACCGGCCTTTCACGATCCTGACAGACCATAAACCGCTTCTCGGCCTTCTTGCCTGTGACCGCCAAACCACCCAAATAACCTCGCCCCGGGTGCTCTGGTGGTCTGTTTTCTTGGCGGGCTACTCTTATGCGCTTCTTCACTGGCCAGGGAAAGTGATGGGACACGCTGACACTTTGAGTCGCCTTCCGCTGCCGTCCACGGATCCGGACCCGGCTCCGGCTCACCAGGTCGCCTTGCTGGAGGCTCTTCCCGATCGGCCAGTACACGTTCATAAGCTGGCCCGCCGCACAGCCCGGGACCCGATCCTTTGCCGCGGCTTGGACTGGGTGAGAAGGGGGTGGCCTACGGCCTCGGTTGTGGCCTACGGCCTTCACAGCATTCGCCTCCCGCAAGGACGAGCTGTCCCACAAAGGCTGTTTAATGTGGGGTGGCCGGGTGGTGATTCCAACTCCATTAAGAGAACGAGTCCTCACAGCGTTACATGACACACATCCGGGGGTAGTCCGGATGAAAGCCCTGGCCAGAAGTTATGTCTGGTGGCCAGGGCTGGACCGGGACATTAAAGCGCTGTCAGCCCTGCCAAGTATCCTGACCTGAGGCTGCCCGAGCTCCCGCCAGGGCCTGGGAATCGTCACACAAACCCTGGTCGCGGCTCCACCTGGACTTTGCGGGGCCATTCCAGGGTCAACTCTTTTTTATACCCATGGATACATACAGCAAATGGCTCAAGGTCATCCCAGTGCCGTCCACGTCCTCACGAGTAGCCATCTGAGCCATGTGGCACATCTTCAGCGCCCAGGGGATTCCAGATACCCTGGTCACCGACAATGGTACGGCATTTACCTCTAGCGAATTCCAGGACTTTACCCGCTATTATGGAATTCACCACGTCAGGTCGACCCCGTTCCACCCTGCGACCAACGGCCAAGCTGAGCGCATGGTGCGCACGACTAAGGAGGCGCTCCGCCGCTTGGATAGGAAGGACTGGGACTACAAGCTGGCAGCTTTCCTCTTTGGCCAGAGAATGACGCCCCACACCGTGACGGGACACATCCCAGCGGAGCTCCTTTTGGGACGGTACCTGACGACCCGGCTGGATCGCCTTCATCCCGATCGAGCACCGGAAGAGGAACCGGCCACGGAGTCAACCGAAGCGGCCAGAGGTTTTTTCCCCAAGGATACGGTCTATGCCCGGAACTATGCTCAAGGCCCGCCATGGATTCCGGCCCAGGTGGTGAGAGTCCAGGGACCCCGGTCGTACGAGGTCTCCAGCAAGGACGGCCAGATACTACACCGCCACATTGATCAGCTGGTACTGCCCCACGACCCCGAAGACTTCGAGGACCCAGACACCACAGAAACTCCCACTCCACCTCAGATCCCAGACGACCTGGCCCAGCACAATATGAGGTACCCCTCGATTCTCCAACAGACAGCACGACCGGGCCCCGAGAAGCAGCGCTGCCAGCACCACAGCCGTCAACACCGCCCATCTCTCAGCTTTACGGTGTTACGGTGTCACCTTCCGTCCCAGAGCACCCTCCTATCTGCAGGACTTTGTGTGTGGGTGACTTTTGGACCAAGGGGGGAGGGGTGTAATGTATCCATCTCAGACCACGTGCGTGACCGTTTCACCATGCGGTCATGTGAAGCGGCTGTTGGATCCCCAGGCATTCGAAATAACTCCACGTTTGAATCAAAGCAAGGTTTATTTCAAAGCGATGGTTCAGACAGGAACAAGAACATTGTTAGGAATAACTACCAATACACAAGTGTAGCATATAAAAGGGATTTGAACCATGTTGGGCCAATGAGGC